ATCATTTATTCTTTTCAAGTGTGAGTTAATTTTTCAAATCACTCTAAGTTAACCCATACCTAGAAAATGAAAGGTCTAAAAAGAATCTTGATAAAGGAAAACATCCTGCACCTCCATCCACCAAGTAGTATGAACGTCTTAAAGCCACAGGGAAGGAAAGCTTACTAAGTAACATAAGCAGTATTTTCCATGAGTACAAAAACGGTATATGAATTACTGTTTTAATTGCCAAGTGATCCAAACCTGGCAGACTGTGCATCAGCCATATCAAGTTGCAAGCTTAGGCATCTTCCAGAACACATCTCAAGAACATGAAACGCTGAAGAAACGTGCACTGACTGTATCTGATATTCTAGCAGAAGAACCCAGGAAGCCAGTCCAAATCATCCTTTTGTTACTTCCGTTCCCACGTTTGTTATTTCTTACTAAAATGATAGCGCGTCTCATTTAAATCTTCTCCAGACTGCACTGCAGTACAAGGCTCCCAAAGCTGCGGGATAGAAACTAGTAATGGTTTAAAACCTTGTGAGGAACAGTATACAAAAAGAATCATCAGGTGCATCGTCATTAACTGCATTTCTTCATGCCAGAAGGCAGCACTTTTCGGGTGCCGAGCCGTGAACATGAAACATCAGCTACTGCAGCAGAGTCTGTTCAATGACGTATTGTGTCCAGATCTCCAGATGATTTCCATTGCAGTGCTCTTTGGCATACAGTTGGCTGGTTTTCTGCCAGGTCTGCACAGCTGAGGCTACCGAGTCACACACCATAGCACAGAATTAGGTGTCTGTCCTGGAGTAAGAGCAATTCTGTAAGACTCATTTAGAGACCAAGTCTTTGGATGCCAGGAAATATGGAAGTCAAAAGGAAGGCACTACAGAGCTAAAACTTGCCCTTATCCCTGGTCTCTGCAGAGCAAAGATGCCTGCAGTGACTGGGAAAGAGCTACCTCCATACATCAGGAAAAAAACAAATGGACTTGATCAAGCAGCAGCATGTCTACAGCACAAAAAATGAACTACACAGATATTTGGTAGAACAGTTAAACCGGTAACCAGAGCTAGAGCTTTACTCCAACAAGAGGAGTGGAGAGGCAGTTCACCGAAATCCTCCAGGGGAGCAAAATGCCTGGCAGACAGCTTCAGGTCCCGCACTTGGAAGCGGCTTCCAGTTTAGGTTTCTCCAACATCTCTACTCCTTATGCAGTCCATCTGCGTGATTTTGAGAGCCATTTCAGATAATTTATTACGTCTCTGAACTCCAGCAATAAAGAGATGAAAGCGAACTGAATCTAGCCCAGTTTACCCCCAGAAGAAATCTGCCGAAACCACCATGAGATGTCAAAAGGGCACTGAGTATAGCTCAACAGCAAACCGAACTATATTCACGACGTTTGTTTCGTATAATTAGGAGATGGCAGAAAAGTTCTCTGTTCTTTTGCGTTTCTGAAACACTGAACTTAACATGTTGAGAAACGATGTTACAACTAGAGATGGTTAAAACACACTGGAATCAAAAGTTTCCAACCCAAAACGCTGACTATGGGAGCCAATTTTTCACAGCAGCCACGCAGTGACTCAGGCATTCAGGAACTGGAAGCTGTTTCCCATATGCCAGGCGACTGTCCTAACTGCTGCGCTACTGGCTATTCAGTAGTTGGCTTTGCTCTTCTTAGTAAGAGGTTTGAAGTGTTTTTTCTCCTAACATATCAAGTGTTGAAACCCTTTCTCAAGCTCATTTTCTTTTCGGGCCATCTCAAGTTGTAACTCATTTCTATTTTCCCACAGACATTTAGGCGTAAAACAGCGAACGCAGGAGTTTACATGTGGTGCTTCTAAAAACATTGGTTTTAACTGGGTATAAACTGTGGGGAGCACTCTGCACTTTTACACTGATTTCCGACCAACTGTAATAAAAGGATCCTAACGGCATTCCAGCTCCTTTCATACAACTATACGCCTCTCGCATAGCGGGCCAAGCGACATACATATTGTCATTGCTGCCTCTATCGTTCCCATCTGAGAAGAATCAGCAGAGAAGCCCCTGAAGGATGAGCAGCCTTTGTCCGTGCAACTCCAAGTCCTGCTTCAGCAGTGGCCTGAAGTGCACTGTCAGCTCCAGAGGGAGAAACCCCAGGGCTTGCCACTCCTGCAGTCCCAAGGTCCTTCGCAGCCACGATGATAAAAGGCTTCCCAACTGCAAGCTCCGCATCTCCCTTGTCCTTGCGCCATCTTCCCAGATAGATGTAAATGCACCTGAAAGCGATTCATTTGCTGGACTACCAGCACCCTACGGAAAGCTGATAAGTCATAAGGATGTAATATGACCTTCTGTTTCTTGCTCCTATCCTGTTTCACATGACAGAACAGTATTTAGTCAAGTGCTGGGTTCACCAGAAAAACCTTACACCTCAGTAAGAGGAGAAACACTCTGGCTGACTCTACTCAGCTACAATTTACAACAAGCTTTATGAGCCCAAGGCCTATGCCATACATAAAAGAAGAAAAAACAACAACAGCAGGCAGAAATGGACCACAGTTCCAACCCAAAGGCTCTTAATACAGTAGAAAACATCTTCAATAGGAGTCAGCATTTTTAATTAAGTCTAAATTTCAATTTTTAAGAAGTAATGGATTGATAGGATCACCATTTCATCTCACGGCAGTTTGACAAGTCAGAATTCTTTACTCGGAGAAGTCTAGGTGACTACTGGTGAAATACTCAATACTCGCACTGCAGATGCTTTACAATAAGGAAATGAAACTTCTGCTCTAACTAGATCAAGCCAGTCAGTCACTCAGATGCTGGAACTGTGCTCAAAATACTAAACACACATTCCACTTCCTACTGAGTCACCTTCCCTCTCGACTCCTTGAATAAGGTACACACGCAGTTTATTTCTGAATCAAGTGTTTTACAATTGCAAGGAACAACATGACACAGGAAAGGCGAGCACAAGAAGAAATCCAAATGTTAGGGTCATTTGTCTCATTTTTATTAGGAAGCCCTCAACTAGAGATAAAATATGTCCAAGTCAACACCACTCCCTTTCTCAGCTTGCTTATAATGCATAGTCACAACACATTTCCAAGAACAACCCTGTACAGAAAACAAACCAGCTTTTAAAGGATTTATTTTCTAAGTGTATTTTTCTAAGTGTAATAGGTGGTTATCACAGAAATCAAAATATCTTCCTTGAAATCAAGGCGATGCATGCACTTTCTTAAGTTACAATTATGAGCCAGTAGAACAAAAAGCTCCTGAAAAATCGCAACATTTTTTCAGTAAAACAGATATCAACATAGCTTGCAAGCAACAACTCAAGATTTCAGCCAGTCCATTTTTCTCAGCCATAACTGAAGCATTTTTTGTTTTCCAAAGAGGAGTTACCACTCCTTACATTTTTAAGCATGTCAAGAGTTAAAGCTCAGATCTCAAAATAACCAAAGTAAATTCAGATTTTAATGAATGGCCTCACCTGTTGCATCACATAAGTTATAATATAGCTCGCTGAAAAATAACAGTTAAGCTTAAATCTTTGAAGAGCCTCAGGTAAGGAGAAAAAAGAAATCCCTAGATACAAGGGTATCCATACTCCCGATGGCAGAGCAAGCAACCAACAGTCACCACTTCAGATAAACGTAACTATTGTTTATTTTCCACATGAATTCAGGCTTATTTACAAAATGAACTAGCCTTTTTAAGATGCCAACTGGGTACATCTCTCCAAGCCTCCACCTATAGGGAGAACAAGTATTTTTCCACGTAGGAATTACTTTCACATTCTATTGAACCGTTTCGCGTTAAGAAGAGGATGACAAAATACGGTAACTTTGTCCTTACTGACTGAGCAGAAAAGAAAGAGAAACTAATAACTCAGTAATAGACCACGCAGAATTAATTCAAGTCTTCTTGTTGACAGAGGACAACACATACAGAAAGATGTTTTTATAACAAATTGACTTACAGAATAGAACAACATTCACTCTTCATCATTTATAATACAAGAGCATTTGTGAGCATTAAGCCCCAGTAAGTGATCTTTAGAAACACGAGATGAAAGGAAAGGGAAACACAGATGCCAAGTGAGGTTCGCTGCAAGTGATCTATTTTGAGGCATGCCATTTGAGCTTTTAAACTAGATAAAAATAGTTTTAAAAAGTTACATTAAGGCACCTTTATCTCAACACAACTTAGGCAGGTGGCTAAGCGGCTCCGTAAGCAATCAAAGCTCTTTTTAGCATTTAACTGTCACCTGGGCTTTCCTTTGCCACATGTACCAAAATTATGAATAAAGTGCTGGATCAGGCAAATTTTAAAACTGGCAACTAAGATGAAGGAATGATGCAGTTTTCTATTTAAATTCCAGAACATACAAGGTATTTTTACTCCCATCCAAGTGAAAAATAGAGAAAGCTGAACTAAAAAGCAACAACAAGCACCCTTCCCTAAGTTTGTATGCTTCTTTCTTAAGGTCTATATATATGCATATATATGCACACACATGCATATACATATACACACACACACCCCGTATTAGCAATTAAGCTATGCACTGAAACACAGCAGAAGCTTACAGTCTTAACTTGGCTGGAGAACCAAAGTAAATGAAGTAGTATGTGTTGGAAGTAGACCAGAGTCAAGCAGCAATATTTGCTCTTAACACGTAATTTGTTTTCAGAAAACTTTTCAGACCCATCCTGAAGTTCTACATAAATGATTCACACTACGCTCATGTGATACATTTGCACTGCAAAGACTACTTAGTCGGTACATAGTACAAATACCAGGGAGTGGATGCAGAGGTATTTTTTAATTGGAGATAATCAACATCCACAAACTTTCTTCAACTCATCCACTGTCACAAGGCAGCCAGCACCTTTACTCTTCTTTGGTCATGTAATTGGATATATTTGCCTCAACAGATACATGTATATGTATGTGTGTGCATATATATATAGAGAGAGAGAGAGGGGTAGTGATGTCACAGATGAACTTGCCTGGGTGAGAAATGAAAGGAACAGAACCAAAGGGATCTTCCGGAGGATTGCTCTGTGGAGCAGAATGCAGCTCCACATTCTTATCCAAAGATGCTCTCCTGTCCATCAGCCTGTCTGTAAGAAATAAAATGAAACAGAACAAAAAATAAAATAAAATAAAATAAAAATGGCAATGTAAAGATATGTAACTGTTTGTGGTGAGGGAGCTATATACCCTAGGTTAGGCTTTTTTTGGTTTGTTTTCAAGATATCCCGGTCTTCGAATTCACACTTCTTTGCCATTCGGCAGTTTATCCACGCAAACTTCTTGTTAATCCCTTTGTCCCACCAAAGAAAGTACGTGTTAACTGACAGAATGCTTTACATAAGGATAGCTTTAACAGGTTATAGGCAGCGTATGTGCTCTGTAACAGAAGTTACTAGTCCTCTGCAGGCTGATGAGATTTTTAAGTCAGAATCACTACCGAAAGCACCAAATCAGTCATATTGTGCAAGTTTTGGCCAGCCTTGGCCACAAAACCAGACAAGTTAAGAATCACAGCAAAATTGCTGGGAGTGCTTCCTGCTAAAGAAAGTAACATACCTTAGTAATGAGAAACCATCTGAGCATCACAGAAGACCAAGAAATAGAGCATCTGTTTTGTACAATCTTTGCTCTTTAGGATGCTCGACTAGTTTTTCGAGATGAGAAACAAGTTTTCAACTCTGTGAAAAACTAGAACCACTAGGAACAGAAAGCAGTGGCTTCTCAGTCTAAGCTTTCGTCCTAGCAGCGTGGCCAACCTACATCCAGATTCCCCAGCCAAATTGCTGCATTTCAGTTTAGAACAATCCAGCAAGACCTATCAGCCACTGCAAGAGTACCAGCGTGAAAAATTTTCTATCTTCTGTTACCAAATCCCCTCTCCTCTACGCATAGGGAACGGCCTTTGGCTTCCCCCTATTTTCATAGCAACCAGCTGCTCCTCTGAACAACTTGCAGCACAACCTTCTTGACAATTGGCTGCTGTAGAGACGCAGCTGAACTGCGCCCAATTTACACACCAAGCTACCCGCACGTTTGCTATTCAACCCTCCAATACAGCAACCAGGAGGCTTTACTACGGCAACCACAACAGACTAGACAGCAACCTAATCTGCCTCACAGATGCATTATTAGCCTCGTGTACAAAGCTCAAGAGTTCCGAGATTCAGGTTTCATAGACAAGTGTTCTCTGCATATAAAAGTGTCCATAGCCTGAACTGTCCTCTTATCTACAGTGAGACTCAAGAAAGAAATACAAGTAGGACTGTTCCACTACAGCCAACCTCTACTTAAAACATAATTGCTATTGGGGGCTCTCAGTGTAGGAGATTAAGCAGTCATTAGCACCTCAGCATATACACACTGAAATGGGAAAGATTAATGGATTCACCAATCGGGGGGAGAAAAAAAAAAAAGAAAAAAGAAAATCTACAGAGCTAGAGCTGTGCAGGACTAAATAGTAGCTTGGATCCACAGTTGACTATCCAAAATAGCAGCCATGTGTTTTACCGGCTTTGAGCCTTGAGGACAAACATCTGCAGAATATCACATCCAAGAGCAGTCTTTTGTGATTCCAGTCGTATCCCACGTGGGTCTCTCTCTTCAGGAAGATGGTTTGACAGTTTGATGTGTGAAGAAATGCATGTGAGCTTCAGCTTGCATCTCAACAAATGTAGACAAAGTGAGGGAAGCTTCTCCTCTATTATCCCCGATGTCCTGCTTCCAGAAGATGACCAGTCGACTGACCATTACACAATTTGCAGGTAGTTAGCCACTAGAAGAACTTTCAGGGGTAAAACAATCTGAACAATTACGGTTTAGGCCAGCGAGTTCCTGCAAATGCTGGCAAGACAGACTATTTAGGCACAAACCCACAGAAGACACCAGCACCTCTTAACTTGAGCAAGGACTAGAGAGAGGGGAAAATAAAATGGATGGAGATTCCAAGTATGCAAGAGTCATATTAGGCAAAAGGAGTAAATATAATGTTTCAACTCCTCCATGATACCTACACACATTCATAGTGGGATACATTTCATTTCCCAGAGAAATGAAGTCCAAGAACTGTCAGGTCATCAAAGCTGAGGCTATTCGGAAAAGATGAACCATTTTTCCCTTCTGATCAAAACACAAGTTTCATTTGTGCACCTTGTCACGAGTTCCACTTCCTTTTAACGGAGAGCGTTTTGGAGACAAGAGATAGTGGCAGTTTCTCCAAGTTCAGTTAAGCAGAAACAGACTCAATGGGACCCTCAATATTAGAGGTTAGTATGTGCCACATGCAACATCCTTAAAGGTCAAAGGTTTTTCTTCCGTGAATAATTACATGACCGCAGCCAAAACAATGGGGAGAGATACAAACATGTGCCATGTGGCACAGCTGCCTCTTCAATAAACAGTTACAGATTTAAGCCCACTAAAAGAAAAAAAAAAGAGAAAAGAAAAAGCAGCTGTTTCCATTCAAATGACTGGCCCACCGTGCTTCAGGAGACAGCTCCCTTGGTTTCAAGCACAAGAAACAGCTGTGCAAAAAGAAAACCTGGTAAAAATAAAGCTATTTCCTGCACAGATGACCTAGGTGGTTCCTTCATGCCACAGAGGAGACAAGCACAGAAATTGCTAGGCTTTGCACCCATAGGTGCCTTCACAGAAGCAAATCGATTCTGGGCCTAACAGGAATCCCTGTGCAGTTCAATGAGAAGGCTGCTATGGTGTTTTTCCTCGTAAGAAAACGAACTCATTTTCTTGTCTCCCCATTCTGCACAGAATTTTAAGAGACTACAGCAGCTCACCTTAAAAAACAGGTTTAGTTTAACACGGTCAGAATCTGTGTCATGCACGTGTTGCTTCTGTACCTTCATCAGCAATAACAAAAAGAGTCAAAAAATAAGTAGACAGGGAAACAATACTGTACACAAGCCCAGGAACTCCATCTTATACCTCTTTATGAGGGCCCAAAGGTGCTCAGCCCAGAACTCATTCAACTGCATGTGACTTTACAGCGGCAACTTCTTTTTCTTAAACCATTAAAATCTTCACCTTGCATACATAAGGTATTCTGTTGTAGCAGCTGACTCCCTTTTTAAAGGGAAAGTAATTAACCATCACAGCAATACCCATCTCTAATGTCTCATTAGGACGTTCTGCTACTAAAGGTATGAAATTGAATAGCAGTGTTAGCCTCACAAAAATAGTGATGACATCTTGACGCTCTAACAATGGCTGTATATTTAATTACTCATTTATTATTGTAATGAAAGCAACAGCTTCAAAAAAAATTAAGTTTACACATCACGAATCTACTCAATAACACAAGCTGAACTTTTGAAAGTGGAAAAAAAGATTAGCATTTTGCACACTAGATCGGCACCGAGTAGCATAGCAAACAGACAAACAAATAACAATGTACACGAGCTATGAAGTACAGGACAGTCACAGGGTTTACTAACACGATGATTTAATCAAACCCCAATCACCAGTTTTCCTTCCTCCAGATGGCAAAACGTTTCAGAGTAAACTCAGAAACTGAGCAGACTTGGTGGTAAACAGCAGCTTTCCTTCATAAGAAATTATCTACATCCACAGTGAAAAACACTTGGATCTTGAAGATACATCTGATGAAATTCTAGAAAGTATTACACACTTAAAGACAGTTTTATAGCTGTAATCCTTAAGTGTACAATAAATCCCCCAATTTTTCGTTACTCTGTACGAGTTCGAGGAAATATCAGTAGGCAAAAATCACGTATAAACATTTTTCCTCTGATTGCAGAAAGAATCCCAACACTGCTTGGTAAGTTAAGATAATCCTGAACCAACAAATTAATTGTAGAAATATAATGCACAACTTAATCTCCAAAAAAAAAAAAAAACCCACACTAAAAGGTCCTGGAAATCTTTAATGTCTATATAGGGACAAATTAACCCCTGCCTCCACTGGAGCTCTTAAACTGAAATGGAGCCAAAAGGCTTAAGAAAAGCCATTATTGCATCTCATATTATGTATAAACAAGCCTGCCATCTAGTGAACTTTTGGTCAAGTCACAGTAATTTCTGGGGGGCAATTTCTGTACTCAAATGGCTAAAACACCCTGATGCTGGTAACCACTAAGCAGAACCATGCTGCTATGTTCACTCCTCACATACAGCATATGAAGTTTATTATCACATCAAGCTCTTCTGTACATTAAATTTCCCCTTGTCTCTTAGTGGAGACAAGCTAAGAAATATCTGAATAGATTTCTTTTTTATAAAAAAAAGACAAGACTGCTTTAGCAGATGTAGTACAAAAATTGGATAACAGAAGTAAAAAAGTAGTCAACTATTCTTTCTGCTAGACAAGTAGCGACAGCAATTGGCAACATCTGGCTCCAAGTTCTTCTTTCATTTTCTTCAGAAATAGTAGTTTTTATCTGAAAACAGCCAGTATACTTGAATGAAAAGTACAAAGCAAAACCCTGGGCACACGCATCTAAAGATGTGGCCTAGTCTTCCACTGTGCAGTGGATTTTTGTGAAGTAAACACTTGAAAATATTTTCCCTCCCAGTTATGACACCCTAAAGAACAACCTCACAGGTCCTACGTTATTCAGCGTTTCAGCACCGAGAAAGTACTCGCAATTGGAGCGCAAAGGCTTTCTTCTGATGCTCTCCCTTTGGTGAGTGAGCTGGGACCGTTAGGTAAGCAGCAGCAGTTCTAGTCTCTAGACAGTCTGCATAACAGTCTTAGTAATGCACTGCTTGGTATCTTCCTAGTTTGGTACCAAGTACTCAATCGCATCCAAATACAATGCCAGAAGTCCTTCCAAGGAAGTGTACAGAAGGAAGTATACACAACTCAGTTACAAAAGACCCCGGGGGGGGGGGGGTGGGGGTGGGGATCAAAGAAACAAACAGCAAGCTGTAAAGCTTCCTGATTCGACAGCCTTATACAAAGGGCACTAGAGCCTACTAGGAAAAAGAAAAATCTCCTTAAAAATCAGAGTAAAGGCAGCTGTGTATTAGTATTTTAGATTCTGCTCTGTTTAGAAAGTCACACTTACGTAAACAAGGCTTGCAAAAGTTCATTTGTCTTATTTCTTCTTACACAAGATCTCCTATTTTCCCAACTTACTGTAACTGTTATATTCAGCTACTCAAGGCAGGCATTATTTCTTGTACAGAACCTTCCAGCTTTCTCATAAAGCCACTTGAAGTATTTCCTTGGTTAACATATTCTTCTTTGTATCTGTTCAAAACATGTGGCTTAACCAGATCAAATTCGCCAAACTTACCATAGCCACAGTCAGCAATCCAAAAGTCAGCTGCAGATTCTGAAAATGGGTAGTGTTATCACAACCTTTTCATTTAAGCTAATCAACACCAGATTCTAGAGTATATAGTTTCAAAGTTCTTCTAACGCTTCATTTCCGAGCAGCAAGCCTAAGATACTCAATTTTACTACTAGGAAAAAATAGTTCCATATTCTAAACTTAGATCTGCAAAGAACGCTCATTTTTCAGCTACATATATATCTGTATATATCCATAAATCTCCACATCCCCAAAATGCCAACAAGAACAGTTCGTCCACTGTTTACATAGGCTATATCTGCATCTCAAAAATAGAAGTCTTATTTGATCAACACAAGGTACAAGTCAAAACAATAGATTACCTTTTGACTGACAAGACTAATAGCCATCTCATTCCTTAAGGTTCCACAGGTAACAGGCACATCTTGCTCAGTTACATTTAAACAACCAGAAATCGAGGAGGAAATAGACTCAACTGAAAGGATTGCTTTCTTTCAATACTTGCTATTAACTTCTCTGAGTTGTTAATTTCAGTCATCCAAGTATTTACAATCTGTATTTTAGACACTGTAACATCTTACAAGTCTTGCAAATAAATTTCATCTTGACAAAACTAGTTTTAGGAAGAATCTCTAAAGAACACATATTAAGCAATTAAGGAAAGCAAGTAATTCCAAGGAAAAACCATTGAGAGAACTGACTTCAAGAGGAAAAATTTTATTCAACTATTGTCATATCAGAACAACAAAGCAGCCCTTACACGTAGCCACTCATCAAAAAGGACATTACAAAACATTAACATAATGTAATAGACCAATTTTCTTTCAGGCATTTTCAAAGGGCTTAACAGACCCAGAGAATATTCTGTTCTGGTGTGCAAGAAAAAAAAGCTGGAAAGGAATAACGCAAGCAGGTAAACCGTCCCCCTCCTATCTGACAAAATACCTCTGCTGTTTGGAACTTCTTGACAATCAAGATGACAAAAGCGGTATTTAAGATATTGCCATGTCCGCAGTATTTGAGCCAGAAACTACCAGTTTTAGACAGCGAGTTCCCACTGCACACATTTTCCAATAGGGTAAGAAAAGGACGACCACATGCCCAACTCTGCCCTCAAATGCTCAGAAAGAATTTTCTGTATACAGACTGCACGGCCCTTAGACAAAACAGTCGTTGGCACTGCTGAGCAACTACAGAGCCCTTATTTACTGTGAAGCAAAATAAGCCTTCAAGTGTCCCTTACTTGATCTCAGCAGGTCAAATTCTCTGTCCAGCAGCTCCTCCTCTGTCAACTTGGAGAAATTGTCCTCTCCAAATGGATTCCAGCCTGACATATCAGGTGGGTTATTGGTGCTCTGCTTCGGGTAACTGGAAATGGCCTCAGCATCAGGAACACCTGACCTGTAAAGTCAGTTTTATAGAAGCAAACAGAGAAACATCATAGGATTGTATATTAGGGTGAAATTTGATGCTGTACTTCATTATGTTAAAACACTGCATACAAGTAATATACATGCATTAATACCTTATCCCAAATGTATCTGAGAACTAATTTAAAGTACAACAGATCACTTGGACCATATTGGTCAACCTCATCATTTCTGTAGGCAATCTTTTACATTTGGTTTTTCCACTTATTCTTTGTAGCCAAAACACAAAACCCTTCATCAAGGTGACCTGTAAAAACAAAAACTGTATTTTGCCTTTGTTCATTTCTATACTACCACAAGAGAGTCATAAACTTGGCTTTAAAAAAAAAATCTTCTAAATACCTTAGGAATTTTCACCTGCTCTCCTTATTTATGAATTTTTTTCCCCCCCGGTTAGAACAGGTAGACACAATAAGCAGCTTCAGGTCCTACATCAATGCAACGGATAAGAATAACTTCAACTGTTTGGCATCATAGCATCTGCTTGTGTGAGTTTTACCTCAACAGACTTTGTACAGGTTCTTTTTTCCTTTCAAGCATGTTTTGGCAAATTAAGTCTACCACTTCTCCAGCTGTCTGAAATGGACTAGCAAAGCAGCAAACAAACAGCACATTTTCCTGTGCTAACTGCTTCTCCCCTCTATGCCTAGCCGCCCTCCGCAGGCCACAGTTGCAGCCCAGCTTCACCTGGAGCTCTCTCTTTCATCAAGACAAGAGAGCAAGCAAAGGGCCCCCTTCCTATTAGCTCACATGGTGCCATCATCACACAAGGCTACAGGAGAACTTGTAGTACAACGCAATGTACTCCACGTAGTAGGTCACGTAAGGAGAAACTCATCACCCATTACTATAGGGCAAGCACTCATCCTTTTTATTTATGGGATCACCCTTATGAATGGCAAATTGTTAACTCCCAGTCAACGACCTGAAACTAGCAACAGCAGGAGCACAACCTCTAGCTGAACAAGCACTCGAGAATCTGGCAATTTCCACGTTTACTTCCAGTTAGGAACGATTCCTTCCGATGATTACTTGTAACTGAAATACTCTGACAACAGACTCAACTGAAGTACAGATGGTAAGTCTCGGACATGGGAACAGAACTGCAGGACCACTTACTCTGCCTGAGATTAGACTACCTCACCAGTGAGGTCAAGCCCAGGTGGTAACAGTAATGTACTAAATCATACTAATCTAGCCTGCAGCAAGAAAACAGTTTGCCTTTTCACTGTTTCAACACAGTGTAATGTAGAAGAGACTAACAATACTAGCAGCAGCTGAAATTTATAAAGCACATCATTAACTGAAAGTCTGTGTCAAGACCGACTGCACTGAAGACTGCAGCTTTATCAGAACTGCAAAGGGCTTCTCCTTAAATATTGTATAGTATGCAGCTACATATACACTAACCCAGTTCCGAGGGTCAGTGAACTGGACAAATATGTGGACTTTTTCTTAACATCAGAAAAGTGAGGTTTTTTTCCTTCTACACACCTTTTTTAGTGACCATTCAGGGACAGTCATCATTCATTATAGTTTACTAAGTAAGTCCACAGGCCCCTGCAAAGGGACCCTATCACTGATTAGACACATGACGGATCACTGGTTACCGGGTGCATGAGTAAGAACTTCTGGCAAATACATCCCAACAATAAAGCTTTCCTTAGAGAAGGCTCCCCTCCAGACTGGACTGGAAGACTCAAGAAACTGACAAGCAGCATTTGAGATGACTTTTACATGCCTATTACCTCATTAAACACAGGCTACAGACCACCCAGAGCAAGGCAGTTAGCCATCAGTTTCCTGGACACTAAAACAATCAACAAGAAAAAAGGGGAAAGCAGGTTCTTTAAGAATTTGGATCAGGTTTGAGTTAAGTGCTCCAGCTCTTTCAAAAAAAAAAAAAAAAAAAAGTAAAATTAAATTAAAAATCCATTACCACTAAGAAGCACCTGTGGAATCGTTTTAATAAACTCCTTATTATTGAAGAAAGCACGTAATTTCTGAGGAAAAACATCAGGAGCGGTCCCAGTTAGGCATGCAAGCAATTAGGAACCGCCGGGGATATCTGTGACAGAATACTTGCCTGCTTGCAGTATAAGGAGAATCCACCACTGTTCCAGCGTGCAATGGAAGCGATGCAGGGTAGGAGATTAAGGCTGGCGAGAAATCTTGTGGAGAAGCGATATATTCAGGAGAGTGTGGCTGTTGTGACTGCTGCTGCTGAGCAAGCATCTGCTGCTGTATGAGAGCCTGGTGATATTGCTGCACCTAAGAAAGATAATCAAGTTACTGAAATTCACACCCTCCCCAGCCTGAAGCTCTCCTGCTATGGCACACTACAAAACACAGCAAGAACCAAGAAACCTCTATAGCTTCAACAGAAGCGAGAAGCCAGAACTGCCCGCTGTAAGTGAAAAAAACTGCTCTGATAAATCATTCAGTGATACTGTTTTTCTTTTTGCAACGTATTACTGCTTAGCTTTTTACAATTATTTCCAGCTGAGCATATGCTGCAGCAGTACTAACTCTGTTTTCATCACGCGCATTTCTCAGAAATGAAGAACTAAAATTTCATGACAATTTCTCCTGGTTTTTGAAAAACAGACTATATTAACTAGCTTTCCTGCTTTACCCATACCTTTAGGTAAGTGGAAGTTTCCACTATGCTGCAGCAGCAGCACATGCAAGAATATTAAAGCACTAAGAAAATAACTACATGATGATAGAAGACTTCAGCATTTCAACAAGGAGCAGCATTAATAGCTGAAACGTTCTCGGATGCAGTTGTAAAAGTGCTTAAAAAGTAAGTAAAAGATTTAGCCATTACAAAACTGATTATTTCAAGGCTTAATCATCAGCAAATGACAAAATATGATTCCAAAAGTATCCCTTCCATTGCACATTCCAGGGCGGTAACAACATTTGTGCTCAGCATGCCGTTCAGCAAGGATTCCTCTGGGTTAGTTCATGTTGCAACCATTATAATTCAGCCACAGTTACGCACGTACCATTCCGTCATAACATCCAACCCAAAAGTAACTATTTTAAGAAATTCATGAATTTAAGAGGGCCAACTGTACCGGTTTTGTTTTGTTTTTAACACTTCTTTAACACTTAGGGATTTTGAATGGGTTCCTCAGGTACACTTCTAAATGCAACTGCTGCATCGCAGAGCTACATGAGCATACATGCAATAGGGCCTGAAACAGAGGTTGGCAGCTATTCATATTCAGATAACTTAACTGCTTACTGATCTTGGACACATTTGAAGTAAGACTTTGGTGCTGCCGTGCTTTCTATCACTTTCTAGAAAAACATAAATTTGTTGCTGAGGCCATTACTGGACACTTTAAGCATCAAGTAGCCTTTAAATTGGTATATAACTATTCAACATAGCTTAGGACATACTCCATTTAATTAATATAAACATGTAACCCCAGCTAAGCTTTCTCAGCTAAGTTCAAGTCAATGTAGTTTCCCTCCCCCCCTCCCACCTCACTGAACATAATTTCAGACAGTCATCTTCTCAGTATTTACCGTGTCTTCTTTAGGTCATTGCAACAGCTCAGACTTCTGTATGCTGCTACTTTGCAGCAGACTTTTAAACATACCGCATATTTGAAGATTGTACCATCTATGTTCCATTTGGGACATACCATAGCAGGATACTGAGCCTGGGAAGGTTGCTGCTGGTACACAGATTGCATCAACAGCTGCTGTTGGACCATCTGCTGGTGCATTGCTTGTTGATACTGTATTTGGGAAGAAAAATAAAAATTCTTTAAGAAGTCACAACCCCCACTCCCAAAATATAGGGATATTTAGGAGAGGCACTGAATAAAGTACCAGCTCTATGTCTCAAAAGCATTCTCCAGTTAAGCCGCCACATAACCAAGAATCAGCTTGCTATTCAGTCACTGCCTTTTAACAACAGTGTGCCTGGAAGCTTTTCTGTGTTTGTTTCCCTTCTCTCTTCTCAGCTCACACCAGGCTGTTTAACAAAAGATTATACCTACACGTTCTGCACTGCCCTTTAAAGGCGTACCATTCAGCACCCCAGCTTTTACTATTTTCACCGCTACTGAGCGTCTTTAGAAAAATCAATCAGCTATGCTTTAAATAATAACACTTTCCAACGTGGGGGCAGGGGCGTGAAACAAACATGAATAACAAAAGGCATCTTGGATAGGATCTGAAAGATCTCATCTGACCTAGCCCCTCTTCTGTTCCATTTTCAAATAGTTATGCCATGGTACAGTAACATATAAGTTAAGCAACTGTTTTTGACAGCATGCAAGCTGCACAGTGTTCAAATATGTAGTATCCAGGAAAAAAATCTCAGGTGACTTAAGAATTACAAGAAGGAAGCTCTTTATTGACCAAGAAGAGAACAATCCTACCCAGATGGTCTATTTAAAACCATTTATTGCAATCATAGCATTGTCATCTAGATCATTCTTAACCTTGCTCTCACGCATGCTTACACAAGCCTAAAACTTTTATTTGGGCAAGTCACAGTGTTGCTTCAAAATTAGCTGGGATTCAGTTTTAGGCAGCAAAAGCTAGACCATTGTGAAGGAAGCAACTTTCGAGGATACATATTCCAATATCTCTACTAGGAACAGACGTATAATCAAAGTTTAACAAAAGGGGCAGGTGCGACCATCCCTTTCTCGCTCCCAACCCAGAGAAAACAGGCCACAAAAGCAGAATCACTGAACTAGCATGAGTTTCCAAACGCTATTAACAGACATAACTTGCTGCTATTTTAGATGCATCTCTAACAAGCATAACTAGTACCTGCTGCAAATAAGCATCCTGAATTGCTGGCTGCTGTTGCTGGTGATGTAAATGGTGCAACTGCTGTAGTCTCCAGTCCCCCTGCTGCAGCTGCTGAAGAACTCTGTTCTGCTGTGAATGGTGCGGATTGGTCCCTTGGGGCAATAAAATTTCTTGTCCATTTCCAGGTCTCGTGGTTCCTACAATGTTAAAAAGACACTATTAACATACAAATTCCGGATGTTTAACTGGCAGTTAGCCTCATTTTTAACACAAAAGGTTCAACAATTTATAGTTCACTCCCCAGTTTGAAAAGTGGTACAATTGACAAACATGAAAATTTACTGTACATTTCACTCTCTCTGAAAACACCCTGCAGGCTTATCAGTCCATAATTTCTACTTGCAGGATGGGACAAGCTTCCTTGGCTTTCACAGTCCACAATGATCTGAACAAGCTGGTAACACTCCAGCTTCATCCTCTGGCATCTCAAATGCACTAAATCCATTCCAAGTCAAAATTAGGATACACCATTCAACTCCTTGTAGTCTCCACGTTCTCAGCAAAACTATCTCTGATAAACTCCTTCCCACGTGAAAATGAGCCCTTTGGATTTTCTATGCATAATGGAAAGCAAAGTACACAAAATCCCCAAACACCAGAAGCAAGCTGGGGCCTCGTACAACAGTTGTTTCAATACAGATTTGTGCATTTGAGGAAAAAAAGAAAAAGGAAGAAGAAGAAGAAGAAAAAAAGCATGCTTTAAGAGAACTACTGGCACATATGTCTGTAATTCTTTAAACAGAACCCTGGATGAGCTTACCCATTCAATCGGTTTTGTAGCCTTTTAAATAAGCAATTACTAACAGAGTCTCCTTGGCATGCTGCACTTATATTCCAAAGCTCCCAGAAATGATCTGTTCCTTGTCACAACAGGACAAGCTTTCCAAGTTGTATGTTATTTGGACACTATCCAGTGAAAATGGTCCACACCTGGGACACTAATAGTCTCAGTGGCCTTCTGATCGGAGGCTTCCCCATGCCATCCCCGAAGCTGTTCTTCAACGAATCAAAAAATCTCTGCTTGATAACTTAAAAATACCCATCCACTCACACAACCCATAACAGGGCAGGACCTTCTGCTTGAAAGAGCACTGACAGGTAGTGGACTGACAGTGACTTCCAACCCTTCGCCTGTCTGAGGCAAACATGGATAGTATACCACATGTCCTTGTTTTTGCTCCATCACAGGTACTACAGCCCAGTTTCTCTGCCTCTAACACGAAGCAGAAAGTGTCTTAGTCCTCTGTTCCAAGTCTCTCCTCCACACCTGTCCAAATCAGTCGGGCAGATCTACATCCTGTTTATAAGCAGGTTTTTAATTTGCCTAGCAGTAACGCAGGAGTCGATCAATCACACTCGTCAAAACCGACGACTTAGCAACATTTAAGTGACTGACATCCTCGCTTTGGTGCTAAGTCAGTATCTTCAACGCTAAGTAAGTGCCTCCGAGGCCCTAGGTTCCATAAAGCACTTGCAAACATGGAGTGATACTACTTTATTTCTCCCCTGAAAGAACGGAAAAGTTGCGGGGAGCTAGGGGAGATTTCATACAAAACATGAAGTGTTAAAGTTTTAGAAACAGGGTGAAAAAACTGGCTAGGGCCTCCAGATTCATTTTTTTCCAGACAGTTGATAAACTCCCCTTTGCTGAGGCAAAGAAGATCTTTTTGCCTTCACAACAACTATGTTTCTGTGTACACGGTCCCAATAAACGCCTCTCTCTAGCCCACTCAGCATTCAAATTTGCAGTGCAAATATTGCAATAGACACATAATATCAAGAAGTGCACTAGGTAAGTACCCAACATATAAAACAATACTGTTGACACTTACTGGATCCATAGCTCTTTTTGAATGAGGTTAAAAAAAGTTAAAAATAACATCCAGACTTACTGAAAATAAATTTCACATGATTGCATCTCCCCCTGCGTACCCTTCCATAGCACCAACAGTGCAATGTGAAACATATTGGTCAATCATTAGAGAAACAAAGTTTTTATGTGGTGCCAGCCTACAAAAAAATCAGCATTTTATTGCTATCTTGTGATCTACTGAGGCAAAGGAATAATATTTTTCCTAATAGAAAGGAAGGTGTTTCTTGCTAAACTAAAAAGATTGCTACTTCACTTCTCAACTCTTTCTCCTTAGTTTCTATGGCACCTGGACAAACTCACTGTTGGTACATTTAGAGCCTTCCAGAAAAGATGGATATTTCTTCTTTAACATATATATATATACACATATATATACATATATATATAAAAAAGAGAGAGAGAGAGAGAGAGAGAGAGAGAGAGAGAGAGAGAGAGAGAGAGAGAGAGAGAGAGATGGAATTAAGACTAAGGTCATCCTTATTAGAGCAACAAGAAAAAGAAATTCACAAAACGCACTTTAAGGATAGACCAAAACAAACGAAAACATCAGTAAGTTACCTTTTTGCCCACGATTACCAAATTCACCAGGAACTTGTACTTTGACTGGTGTTGCTGAACTCTGGATCGTCAGCACACTAGAAGCGGCAGTGCTTGAATTGGCCTTTGGTCTTTGTCGTGGTGCAATTGAGGTTTCTGTTGGTCCAACGTTGTCCGTTATTCTAAAAGGCAAAGTTTTCCATAGAAAAGACTTCACTCTTCTCACACGAATTCCTTTTTCAAATTAGACAATATGCATCTTAATAGCTCAATTATACCTTAACCACATGCTACTCTACTTTTCAATTGGATCTTAATACCTCAAAATTGGCTACCTAAAATTCACCCACCACCCATTTCGAAGGGGCTATTTAACAGCCTTATTCCCAAGGAGACCAAGGCATTAGATTAAGATGAAACATCTCCCTGTACAAGTTTCCTGTAATTTGCACAGCTTGAGCCAGTCATCCTGTAACTGGAAACATGACTACTGTTCACACATACAGGGTCTTCCCTGACGTATTTCAGAGCAGTATAACATTCTGCCAGGCTAAGGGAGGTGTTCAAAAATCAAAGTACTACTTTGGGGCTTTCATCCCATTTTCAGGTTATACTCTAGGTAAGGCTTAAAATTGGCAAACTGCTTAAAAACAGTAATTCACCAGCTGAACTACAGCACTCAACATCTTGCAGTAGTTATTGCTGTATTTATATTAAGACACTGTCTTAGCTTGCTGCCAACTAAAGCCATCAGAAAAACGTTATTTAGGAGGAACTATGAATCTTCTTAATGTTGTCTGACAGATCTAGTTGGAGTTTAAAAGATAGATAGCCTATGCCTGCCCTCTACTGCATGCTACCAACTGTCGGTAGGTGTCAGCCAAACCAATAATATACCAGACCATTACATTAGTTTATAACATCACAGAAACATCTACACAGCCCAAAACACATTTGATGAGCCCATTCATTTGCTCATCACTTACAAAAGGCTAAAAGAAGTCACTGTCAAAATTCAGCTGTTCAGTACTCATTCATTCAACTACACTTAAGTCACACATGTTTGGAGATTCCAAGCCCCCAAACTTTCATTACCAAGGAATAACAACGCAAAGGGATATTTCAGCTTTAGAATTAAGGATACGCCATACGCCACAGCAAAATAAAAACCAAGAATAAGATTTCTTGACTTCTTTAAATTAAACAGTGCAAAAAGGTATATTTAGGTATATAGATTGGAATTTTTGGAGGAACGCAATCCACTTATCGTCCAATTTAGTCATCAGTCAGAGGGTAGCACCTTTGAGTAACATCCCGAAGAACAGTTTGTCCATAGCACATTATCCTCACCTCCCACTAAAACCTTTTTATTTCAAAATTTACTCACGACACTAAGAAAAAAGGAGATCAAGTACAAACTGCTGGCAATTACCTTTTTCAGTTATGAAATGGTATCTTCAGTTTCTCTCAATGGATTCTCAATATAATTTAAAAAAAACAAAAAAAAAACAAAAAAAAAAACCAAGGGAACAGAATCCAAAGACAGACTTGAACACTTATATTTGTGGCTTACCTATTCTAACAACCTTTGCTGCTAAAATTCTTCTCAGCTTTTAGCAAGCATTTAAAAAAAAGGTTTCAGATTTCAACACGCCATTTAAAGAAATTAACCAAAAAAATGTAAAAACAAATCCTTTGCTCACCTTGCTTTTATTTGGCTTTTTCTAGCAGCTGCCTCACTAGCTGTCATGGGTTCAGGAAGAGTTGAAGGGAGAGAAGAATTCTTGGGAAAAATAAATTTGAATAAATTAAAAAAGTAAAATCCTGAAAGAAAAAAATCATTACAAATTGAAGAGGAATATTTGGGCTCAAGTAATTCATGTTACAAGGTTTTTTGCAGAACTGAGTCACATGGCTGTAGATATAAAAATGCTTTAAAATAAGTTTTCCCACGCTCTGAGTAATCGCAACTACCACGTGACTAGTCTGAAACACTATTATGTCTACTGCTTCATTTCATTTATGCACAGTCATCTAGCGACAATGAGGTAAAATGTTTCCTCCAGATATTTCTTTCCTAATTTGCTTGTAATTGCTTATAAAACCCCCTAATTTTTAGCCTTCAGCCGAAGGAGCAAAACAAATCCTAAATTTCAAATGAAATTACAGTCGTTTATTTAATCCACTCAGCTCTTCTACCGCAACGCAATATCTGCAAAACAATACAATATAGAAGCACTATGGTCCTTCACCTAGCCCTACCGCAAATTACGGCCTAAACATATACACGTTTGTGGTCATTCACATCCTCTAACCCCACCCTTAGTTCTCTAGTATCAGAAAGTAACTCTGTAAGTAATTATAAAGCAGCTGACGACTCCATCATCATCTCTCACCCTGCCTTTATGAGCTTTACGGTACTCAAGAATACTCCTCCACCACAGCAGTCTGAAAGTGTAACCTTCATCTCACTGACAGCGCACAACAAAATACAAGGACCAATATAAATGAGAAGCTTTAACATCTCGGAGTCCTGACTTCTCCTGCTAGCTCTGCAAAACTTGGAAGATCCAACTTAGGTCTTTTACACCTGCAGTCCTGAATGCTTAGTGACAATATTGGCAGCTAAAGCATTCAGAAGCCTTCTCTCCTCATTTACACCACTCATCACCATAGGACTACAAGCCTCAAACCCTTCATCAATAAACTCTCTGTCCTTCTTCTTGCAGTCCCAAACTTCATCCTCAACTACAACCAGCACCATCGAGCAAAGAGGTCAGACTGGTCCCTCTTACAGTCCCTTCAAGATCAATAACCAGCATGCTCGAGTGTTAGGTTTTGACCGTGGCAAATCGACAAATAATGAGCCCAAAGCCAGATACCAAGAGTATCCTCCTTCCTTTCGGTTCCCTAACTATTGCTAACTCTGATCCTAGCTCCAGCCATACTCTGAAATCCCCTTGTTATCTGAAATCACATAACCACCGTGACCCCTGATAGTTTATTGAAGCACCAATAACTCACTTGATCCTGCCGGCACCCCTGACACCACAGTTCACAGACCTCAGAAAACAAAGAATCATACCGTAACGCCTTCCACCACCAAAACGCAGGCAAGTCACGGTCAGAATGTCATTTCAATCCATTCTTCCTCTCCACCCTTCAAATACCTATTTGTAAGTCATTATCTGTCTAGAAGGGGACTGAAACTCTATCAAGAAGTTCCTTCACAGTAGCTGCTCTCCACTTCACTAATATATTTGGGCAAATTTCAGCAGACCTTTTCGCCTGTTGGAGAGGGAATAGCTACTTTTCTTCAGCATATTCTTCCACAGTTCTGATCTGCTGCTTCACTAATTCAAGAATCTCTCAATTTAATGCCTGAATGAATCACTTATTGTGTAAGCAGCATCTAACCCAAGGAAAACAAATTTGGGAAAGGGAGGGAAGGGAGAGGTTGTCTCAAATTCCACAGTTTGGAATTTGCACAAGCTCCTTCAGTACAGTAAAGAAAGTTCATCTAGATCTAGTCATAAAGATTACAGTCAACAGCTATCGATTTTAAATATTGCTTCTGAAGAATACCAACTGGAACTACTCAAGAGCGTCCAAAAAAAAGACAGACCCCTACTTTTGGCTCTACCTTGAAAAATAAACTGCTGTCAAATATAGGATACTGGAGTAGGCCTCACTGAGTACACTCATTTTTTATGTTCCCATGAAATATTTGGTGGGGGTGGGGGGCAAGGAATGCACACACGCACTTTTCTTCCCCCTTTTTTTTCCCCCCCCCAAGGGTAGCAAACAGTGTTAGGGAAGGTAAGCACAACCACAGGAAATAAGGAGAAATTGAAACCAGGGTGCAGATTGCTGCTCTTTCTGCTCCTCTATTAATATAGAGGTCATAAAAATTCAGCTTCACTTTGTCAGAAAACTCCAGGCACTTGTACATAGCTCTGTATGCCACAGGACAGAAGGCCAAGTAAGCTGGCAATTATTTCCCTATCGAGAAAACGTCAACAGACGTATCTTCATGTCACTTGAATGAGTTCATACTGCTCTCACAGTAAGAAACACGATAAACCCTTCAATGTAGGTTATGCTAAGATAGCGTTTTAAGTACTGGTTCATATTTTAGGATGAAATATTAGGGGAAAGTATCATTACCGCACCTGTACTCAGGCTAAGGACATCCAAACACATCATGAACTTATATTTTCAGGACATTCAGGTGATGCTAACCATACTCCGCACTGACATAATTCAAAAACATTCAAAACACTTGAAATCTAGCCTTCGCCTATAAGGAAGAAGTACTGTAAGTTTTTCCAAATATTTTTGGTTTTTACCTAGCCAAACTTCCCAAAAGGTAACGTGACAGTTGCTGAGCACCTTCTTTGTTTTCCTACAGGACCAAGAAATAAAAGATAATAAAATCAGAGGGGATCGCAGTATGTTCCTTCGTCTGGCTCTGAAGGCACTGCTTACTACATTTGCTCCTAAGTTAGCTCCGATTTTAAAATAGGATTGAGTTTTCCTAATTTCAAAACGTCTACCTTGGGATGCACTTTACAAACTGAACGTTATTGATATGTTCTTCAAGTACATTGCAAAGTCATTTGGTCTGTGAATAAGATGACCTTTGAGGGAAACATCAGATGCGCATGTCAAGTAACGGCAGGAAAGTAAGCTAACCAAGAAACTACTCTGTATTCCTTTGCACTTCAGTGTAGTCCTTCCAATCGATTACTGTAACGGCTAAGGATGATTAAGAAAACAGGTTCGTCCAGAACCAACAGAACTACTCTTGACGCTTCACACGGTGACAAACTTTCTACTGTCAGTAAGATGACCTTATATAGTGTACTTTATATTAATTCGTTTAGCTTTAAGATAAGGGTTAAGAGCACAGCTCAGGTTTTACTACACTTCAATGAAATTCATGAAGCTATGCCCACAGAATTGACTTTTTTTGGTTTAAAGAGGTAAAATTTCATGCACTCAGTACCTGCATGAAACACCTTCTGTTCCATGTTTCACCTTTAGAGACCAAGTTTTAACATGAAATAAAAATCTTTCTTGGTTGACTCAATAGACTTCTACTTCTTTTAGCAATGCCAAGACCTACGAAACCAACTAAAAATTTGGAGAAAAAAAATCAAAGACTACTTACATTAATATTGGACACTGGACAATCCTTTTTGGCAAGTTTAAAGGCAAAGTAAGATACCTGAAAGATATCAGGTCGCTGTTCTTGATCTGGTTCAAGCATGTATCCTGCAAAAATTGGTAAGATCAATTACCACTTTTTGACAGCTAAAAGCCTGTTAGGCAGCGTGCAACAAGCAAGAACAAAGTAAAGCAGCTACTCTTGTCAACCGAGCTCACATGTAAAAAAATTATTATTAGTCTTATCTTTGAAATGCTTTTTGTCTAGGCAAATAGTTTCCAGGGTCAACTGTAACTGGTGGAGAAATACGCTGTTGGATAGTTTTTTCCTCAACTGTGGAAAGGGCAGCTCAGCTGAAGTACTAAGTCATTACTTCAAACAGAAATACAACAAAATAGAAGGCACATCACCGGCATTTACTAGGGTTAATATAAAGCACCATGTAGCTAACGGCAGATACACACAGTCATCCGTTTCACTGTTTACACTGGACTAAGGGTCTACATTATGTTCTACCTTGCACATTTAATCTGCTACATGAACTTATTTCTGCAAAAAAGCAGAAGAGCTAGTTCCATGGACAAAAGCATGTTTTCAGACAAGGCATGGAACGTGCCATTTCCCTCTCGAACCTGATCTTCCCAGATGAAGACTAAGAAATCCATGTAGGCAGAAATTCTCATTTGGAAGGACAAAGTTACTGTCTTTAAGAAAAGAAAAAAAAAATCCAAGAACATAACCCTTGAAGACAAGCAGAAAAAACCTTAAATCATATTCTGTGAAATATCTAGTGTTTTTCAAGCAAGCAAGTTCTCTTATATTGTTATATCGTGCATAAAATGATATTGCGTATATAATCATGAGGTCTTGCCTAAATGACAGAAGAGCCTAAAGATACAGTAAAAGTTTTCTCAAAAATAAGCAAAGCCTCCAAAAGCTGATCAGCTACAAAGAATAATATCTATGCATTTTTTTTTTACTAGGAAAAAGGTGAGTTAAGTTTCCAAAACCATACAGTACAGCCAACCCGAAACAATTTCGTGCAAAACCTTGAGCTGAAACATTTTTTTACTTTATTATAATCTAGCATAGATTTTATGAATCTGCTGAAAGTCATTATTTCCTGCCCAGTACAGTTCCCACAAAATTGTATTTTTAATGGGTTTTACAAAATAAAGCACATGTGAATTAAGTGACATGGAAATTAAGGGGAAATGGAACACTTAAGAGGTGACTCCTGCCACTTGATTCTGCAATCTTAGAGTCAAAATGGAGAAGGTCCAACTTGCTACTGCTTTTTCTTCCCCCCGTGTAGAAGAGCTGAAATAAAGTCAGTACTCCCTGAAACACCTTTTATGACTAACTCTGGCTTTTCATGGCTTTCATTCCAAATGAAAATACGGAAAATCGACATTCTGAGATTCTTCCTCACCCCTATGTATTCATTGCGGAAAACAGTGCTCATCTTCGTACAACAATTTGCTGAAACTTAATAAATTAGGAGTTCATGATTATAAGGAGACAGGATTAAAACTTGTATTCTTCTAGAAAAAACACTGAGCATAATATTTAATCCCTTGTAAAGCAATATTACGTTTTGCCAGTTATTAAGTATGCACACAAGGCTAGATAACTTATTTTTCAGTTATGAATATATGCTCCAAAAAGTGCTTTGGATTTCGCATTTCCTATTATATAAAGCATGAAGTATGTGCTCTATACATTCATAACTGAGAAATAAATTAAAAGAGCTCCTATTTCAACATTCTCAACCTTTCATGTTGTCTCAGTCACTCTCTTTAAAGTTAACTTGTTCCCTATTTAAAATAGATGCAACTGAAAATTCTGATTATTACTGGAAATATTAGATCTGATATCCCTGCATTCAGAGAAAGACACAAATCACTAGCCTCAGAACTCATTTTTCCCCAAAATCTTCCTCTGTACTCTCTATACTTGCAATATTTCACCCGAGTTGATGCCCAACATTTTCAGTTGCACACAGAACTTCAGTAGACTCATGTTCCACTACAAACCCCCAAACTGCTGTAAAACCCTCTCTAGCCCAATTGACCTCTGCAAGTTTAAGTTTCTACACCCAACTTGCACTTCAGATTCATTTAGCTAACCACATCTGTCTAATTTGGACAGGGAAAAATCAAACAAAACAAAACCCTATTTCCAATCTTACATTGCATAAAAAAAATGTACGCTGAAGAGTAACTATGAATAAGTTAAGAGCTACTATTTTCACAACCGAAAGGGTTTGCTGTTGTTGTTGTTGTTGTGTGCGTGTGTGTTTTTCTCTTCTCCTTTTATTTATTTATTTATTTATTTTGATTCAGCCATTTTCTTCTGAATGGAGAGGTACAACTTTATTTGCCGGATCTTTCAAGTGTTTCATTCTATTTTGATTTTCAGGTTATCAGTGGATGACCCAGCTTACAGTAGCCAATTTTAAGATTGCAACTTCAACCAAACAGGCCCATTTCTGGTGCAGCTTCCCAAAAATGTTCTCTTGGTTTTTGAAATCCCCCTCTAGGTCAGCACCTCAGTTCTGTACCTGTGGCACCCTTCCCTGCTGTGCAAAGGGAGCAGCAGGCAAAAAAAGGGAAAGAGGTCCACCAGAAATGGGAGCCCAGAGCATCTCCCACTGTTCGCTCAACAACCCAGCCAGTCTCCGCCATTTATCCAAGTCATTCCTCTATACCAACAGCATCTTCTGTGTTTTATTTTATTTCCGAGACAAACAGTTCAGTGCTGTGCAGATACTTACTTATCAAACAATGCATATTATGAGTATATCGGGAATTGTCCGGAATGGTAAAACTTCCGTCACAAATAGCAACTTGACTCTCTCCAAAGGGAAGCGAAAAGAAACAAAGTTTATACAGCAAGCAACCAAGTGCCTGTAAAAACAAATACAGGCACTGTAAAAGGATGAGAGTAAGCCACTTCAATAATAAGGAAGTACCAATAAGAAACAAACAGTGTCCTAGCTATGGCTGACACTTGCACTGGTATGTAGCAGCCACGTAATGAAGTGTTCTGTTGACATCATAAGCCGACATATAAAGCAGTGCTAAAAGAACTTTCTTTCCCACTGTCTGATATGTTACACAGCAAGTAACTACTAAAACTAAAAAAGCTGCACGTGCGTTCTCATATTACCCAGAGATACTACTAGTGTTTCTGCTGAATTTAGTCTTTTACTTCACTGTGATGGCTTTCACGTGCATCACCTACTCAATAGACCTTACCTTATTGTGCTGTGCACAGGTTTCCCTAGAAAAATCACCCGTGACTATCAAGCAGTATTAAGAGCCAACAGAAAGGAAAAAACCTAAATAATTACTCCCTTAACTCAAAATACTCATCACACATGGCACTCACTTAACTTACAGAAAGACCATGAAGCTCCCCTCTATTATGCTCTGCCACATAAAGCCTCTCTCATAATTTCAGAGAATTAAGTTTTCCAGTCAGTCAATGGGGCTTTTAACCATTTTTTCCTCCTAATGAAAGCTCCACAATTCATAATGTCTCATTTTTTACTTACCCAGATATCTGCCTTGGTAGTAATTGGTTTCCCTCCATACAGGTTTATCATTTCAGGAGCTCTGTATGACAGCGTTGTATACCTAGCAGTACATAATTAGAAGAGGATATAGATGAAAAGGTTGTCACGGGACCGAAGGCACCTGTTCCAGTGTCCATTCACACCTAAGTCTCTGCTATATGTCTGGAATTTTCTCATATCGCTGAAGGCATTTACTGCAATCCCACCAACGAAGAGCATCAAAGAGAGTATTTGGAGTAGCTACATCACATTTACTATTGTGGAAGGTAATTTTAGGGCAGCTAAAATTTGCTCTTAACAGCATTTCCACAGGATGAGTACTTTTGTAGCTTCGCGCCCCTCTGCTTCTATACTGCAATAACCAGTCATATGAAACACCGAAGAGTTATTTAAGAGTAATCATCTCATACTGAACCACACAGTAGGGATACTTCCAAAGAACACCACCTCAAAAGAAATTCAAAATCTGTAGTCAAAAGAGTATTTTTTTTTTTTTTAGAGTTGATAAAAATTACATATAAGATTATAATTTGAAAAAGGTCTGTGTTTATTCCCCTGCAACAGTTCGCATGAAGATGCAAAAACAACCCCGTGTGTATTTAAGAATGCTTCAGCAATAAAGTTAAAATAATTTTCTGGTCACTCTCGGGAGAAAGGACATCGAGGGTACTTCATCAGTAAGACCACACGTAGACCCATTCTAATGCTTAAGTACACCATTTCTTTTTCTCTTATACATTTACAGTTAGCTCTATTAAAATAGCAAAACTTAATATACTAAACTCCCAAACTGGACACTAGCCAGGTATATATTTTCAAACTGTTTGATTTGCAAACTTCATGCTTTTTTCAATACCCTTATTCTACTCAGAGCTTGACCTCTGCAGAAACTACCTGTCAAAAAAGGCAAAAAGCTACATTACCACAGTTTTGCTGTTTGACTACACTCATTTCAGTATTGATTCAACCACTAAGTTAAAACTCACGTTAAGAAGATAGGCACACATTACTCATTGATCTTTTGCATCACAATAGACAATAATATATTGACTTCCTAGGAGCACAAGTGCTGCTTCCAAAAAGTGACTTGAAAGTAAAACAAACTTACTTCTTAATTTCTTCCTCAACCAAATTAACACCATCTTTTTGAGGATTTAGAAATTTGTTAGTGGCACTGCCGAAATCACAGAGAACGTAGTTTCCGCTATCGTTTAACAATATGTTCTCCACCTTCAAAGAAAATCAACAGAGAAACAGTATCGTTAGATGAAAAATTGCATTAATCTTCAAGTTAACTGTTTAAACACTTTCTTCCTCTCTCAAACACGCTCACATGAGAAAGAAGGAGAATTCTGAGAAAAATCAAGTAATAAACTTAGCATTAGCAGTAACTGATGCTGTCTTGTTTCGTCTTCTGGTTATAGCTCCTCCAAAAGCAAGCATTTCCCTAACTGGAAGTCAAGGTCTTAAAACGCTTCCTACGCTCTTAATCCTTTCAAAGCGGATTGTTCAATTTTAGCTAAACGTCCCTTTTCATTAGAAGTTCATACCTTTAGATCCCGATGAACTACAGGAGTTTTGCACTGATGCAACCTGGCGACAGCTTCACAGGTATCGCAAAATATTCTCATTACTTCTGATTCAGTAAAGCCTGTCTGCAGACGCTGATTCATCTGATTCACAACTTGCCCAGCTAAAGAAGCAACGCAGATTTTTTTTTTTTTGTTAGTGCTGGTATGATTTACAGTAGCAAATGTTTTGCACGTGCAAAAAGCACACAAACAAGATAAGAATGAAGTTTTCCACAGTCACCGCATTACAAAGAAATTCATTATTTTCCAGTCGTGCACTCCTATGCCACCCTAAACGGAAGTGTTACTGTTTCCGACAAGCAAACAAAAAAGCCATAGCATCCATCACACAACGACGTTACCTCAAAAACACTTCCTGCACGTAGATCAACAGCCAAAATGCCGTCAGCCAACAAAGTTCAACTGAATTCCTACTCTAGACAGCCTTTCTTTGCCTCTCCAAAGGACAAAGAAACAAGGGAGACCTGAACCCACTCGAAGAGAAAACCCTCACGTAACCTCTTGATAGGCTTCTTTGGAGGAGCAGGAACTATCATTTCACTTTTGGAGGCAACTTTACCACGTTATCCTTCTCTTCCTACCACAGTGCTTCCTCAACACTAACAGACCAAGCACGACTCATGAGCTAGGGGGCCATGGAGAGCATTCCTTCTGCATAAAGATCTTTTGAAAAAGAAAATCCTAGCAGGCAAGTCCTTTAGAGGTTTACTTCTGTATGGCTTCAAAATCAAGTGGGCAGAAATTAAATCCAGACGTATGGGAACCAGTTTACACAGAGGGTTTACGTGGCAATAAGCCATTCACAAACCAAGTTCAGAAGAGTCCAAACCAGTGACTTGAGCTGAACACTGAGAAACTGGCTCCTACAAATTGCAACAGGTAGAGAGAAATTTCTCTAACATTTACTACTAAGACTAAGAAAAGAACGTCACTGATATAGAGTCTGAAGTGGGTTCCCACAATTGTGTGGAAATTCACATATAAAAGCATTACTTCACCACAGGATGGAGGGCCAAAATTTTAGATATGAGCTTTCAGGCTCTCTCCTCATTTCCTTTCTAAAAAGTACATCGCTAAGTCTGTCTTTTGCTCCTTATGGTACAGATAGGACAACTTGTTCTATGCGCTCCTTCTACTGGAAACAAAAACAATGCAAAACTCAACTGAAAATATTTTAACAGCCTTATGGGCAGTGGAGCGTTTTTTTTTTTTCCCTCTCTAAAAATATTTTCTACTTGCAACACTTGCTCTATTATCAGCAGGTTCACTCCAATGCCTCTACGTGGTGGGAAAAGACGTCTGGAACCACCTGTTTTTACTTTACTGTTTTATTTTACTGGGTAAAATAAAGTTACATTATCAAGCAGGACATAGAACCATTATTCATGTCCAGCATCATCAACACTAACTATATTATGCTGACTGAAAACAGGTCACCTGTCAGATAAGAGGAAAGAATCTTTAGTACCACGAGCTTAAACAAGAAACAGGAGAGGGATAACAGCTGCCTCCTTAAGCATGCTTTGGTTTCCCATCTTTGCTATCAAATTACGCTCTCATTGCGTGTTCATTAGCGGAAACAATGAAATGGAACCATTTTACGTTCTATTTAAATAATTTTCCCCCTATTTCTAAAAAAACTTAATTGCAAAGCTGTATGACGGCTTTTACATTTTCTCAACAGGTTCAACTAATTCAGTGCTTATCTACCAACACAAAATAAAAAAGTGAAAAGATGCAATTGGATTCCAGCTGTGAGATCTGTACTTTATCCTTTTAAATTAAGGGAACAACATAACATAAAAATCCCAGATTAGCAATTTAAGTGTCGTCTTTGCATTTACTCTGAAAACCAAAGAATAACCTCTTACCTCTACAGTATTCCATGAGAATGAGTACCTCCCAAACATTATCGCTTACAGAATTAACAGCACAATCCAAATAGCCAACAATATTCTTGTGCCCGGACAACTCTTTCTGAAGGAAGAAAGGAAAGGAAAAAAAAAAAAAAAAAGGAAGAAAAAAACCAAAACATGTTATACTTCAACATAGAAAGATTTAGCCAAAAGAAATAAGACACAAGTTTTCTGATGGTCATTCACAAGCTCAAATCAAGGAAGACCACGCCTCACATCCACTACTTGTTATCCAAGTACCTACAAACAGAACATGTTTCAAGTCCATGTTTCAAGTTTCACTGCCAGCAAATTTAGTGTTGGAATACAGATGGAATACAGTACGGATACAATACAGAACAACTGCAATTCAAAAAAGAAAATTCATGCGCTACTGGCTGGACAGTGCAAACAATTCCAAATCACTAATCTAGAACACCACTGTGTACTGATATTATCTACACTCTTGAACAGTAACGGATAGAGGGGAAAAAAAGAGGAAGTTGCTCTTGCTACCCTCAAGGTATTAATTCCAAATATAAGTACTATAAATTACAAGGTGGTAATATTTCAGAAAATCTCTCTGAAGAACTTACATATTTTTAAATTTGTAATAGCTCTGGCTACTGCTGTGTAAGTAATTCAAGTTGCCCCAAAGCAAAAAAATAAGCCATTTCACATGTGGAATTCAAGTAAACTTATATTATACATCTGACAATACCAGCGTATTCTTCCACACTGCAGAGTTCCTGTCCATATGACAGCTTGCGGATAACAAAAAAAAGACCTCTTACTCCTGATAATTCAATAGTGAATTCTATGATTATAATACGTTTAAACTAGAAGTACGTGGAGATAGAGAGAAATAACCTTTGCAATATCTGCTGGAGAGAAACAAGGCAGATTTTCTTTTGCCCTGTCAATCACTAATACTTTTTTTCATTTTTAAACAGCCATCAAGTCATCATAAACCCAAAAGCACTTGGAAAAAAAAAACTTCCAGGTTCTCTTCGTTTATTCTTGGTCAGCTAAAAGAATAAATAACGTACTCTAACTACACTCATACCTCATCTCAATGCTGGATGGTTCATGCACATGCTTAAGCCTACTGAGGACGACAACGCTCGCGGCAGTAACGAACAGCATCGTTCAGCTAACTGAACTGTGGCACATACAGAACTTAGGGAATTGAAGTTATCACTTCAGAACCAGAAGAAGCTCCTTTTGTCTTGGAAAGCAAATGTACTAACAGAATTATCAACTATGGAATCAAATACATTTTCATAGTTGCTTTAGAGATTTATCATGTACTAACCCCGTGCTCAGTATTAGTTTCTGAATAGCACTAACTGTGCAAAACCAGGATCATAAGGCCAAAAGAAAACACGGTCTAGAAGAGATGGCCATTAGAGAGAAGCGAGGTATCACAAAGGTACGGTAAATGAGTACATTCTACGATGTTAAGTAACGTGTTACTTACCATAATTGTAATTTCTCTCTTGCATATGTTGAGATCTGGCACACTGTTAACGTACATTCGTTTCAGTGCACAACGTATTCCACCATGGGTACGTACCAGAAACACAGTTGAGAAGCCACCTGGAGAAAACAATTACAAATGAACGAAGCTAACTGAGATTGTTATTCCTCTAACCGACATCACTGTGTGCTAAGAAATGAACGAGCAAGCGTGCGTGCCAGTCTTGGAGTGAAAAGCAATAAATGCTTTTTCAAAATTGCTAAGACTTGACATCTCAGTCAAAACTCACTTACATGAAGTATTCCTGACAAAAACTTAAGAATCTTACAGTTACGTTATAACACTAAACAGAAATTTTTAAATATTTTTGCTTTAAAGAGTCTTGTGTGAACTCCATGTACTCTGTTTTGCAGGTACCAACCCTGAAATATTTTCAGGGTCTCACCCAGAAATAAGACCAAATGGAAAGTACTCTCCATCCCTTTACAGCTTTTAACTCCTCCAGTATTTGATACGGTAGATTGTTATTCTGTTCTTAAGCCTCCATTTTAAAATGGAGGAAGGAGTAAGATATTAAGCCAAGAGTCATGACAGATATTCAAGAAGTTATGCCAGTCTTCACTGTAGGATGGAGACAGGACCCAAAAATCATTAATAGCGCAAGCAAGGAATCAACTCCAAAGTGATGTTTTTATTCAAACCCATGTTGAACATAGAGATGAAACTGAAACGTGTTCCCACTGGAGTAACACGGCTCATGATTGGACTAGTCCTGGCAACAGGAACACCGTCAAGTTCAACTGCAAGCGATACTTTTGAGCCCTCCTTCCAACCTCAGCATTAGCTTTTTCCTCTTCTCTTCATTAGTAGAGCAAAAAATCACACAAAATATAATCACACAGAGAAACAAAGTGAAACTGCTACACATACCGTAATACTACATTTCAAGTTTCCTTGACAGCCATTTTTATGGAACCAGAGCAGACATGCCCCAGTTCAACAAAAAAACAAAATAAAAAATCAAAACCAAAACAAAAGCAAAAAAACACACCACACACAGGAAGTGAAACATCTAACTGTTCTGACAAACGCTCTCTTTGCCATTAGGTGGCAATATTAACTAATACTTAAACCTGGAAAGAGCCACAAAAACAGACCTACTCCTCATTTTGCCCAGGAGTAGATACGTGACCTTGAATGATTTTCCATTATAAAATGCCAGTGGGATCTTTGACGAAAGGACCAACTCTGAACAAAACTTGATAAAGTATATAAATATTTACAGGACCTCTAAAAGTAATCAGTGCTCTGGAAATTTTTGTCGCACAAAACTGTAACGCATGAACCTTTTCAATAGTCTCTGACATTAAACTTCCCCCTGAAAGCTCCAGAGCAAGCAGTAATCAGTGCTGTAAACATTTATAGATCATTTTTATCAGTATGTCCTGAACACAAAGTAACCGCTCAAGGAGCGCAACCCACTCAAGTGCTTTTTGATTTTTAGGGTTCCCCCCTCCCCCCAAGACTAATTACAGGAAGTGATAGACCCTCCGAGACAGGTAGAAGTTCCTATGCAGTTTGGGATTTTCCTGGAAAACTTTTATTAGAAGTTTTGTAAAAAGCTGCTATGCCAGTACGGAGCAAGGAGGAAGTAAGAAAGCACATTGTACAACATTCCGTGTCAGACATTGTACGGAACGCAACCAGAAATAACGAGCAGTTGCCTCTTTGTAGCCTCCCAGGATTACAGACTGAACAGAACTACACTTCCACATGTAGATCAGCATAGGAGATAGCATTTTGCGAGTATTTTTGTAAGTTGAAGAAGTTTTCTATTATTTGACACCAGTAAAGGCAGAAAATTCACCGAGTTTTCCAGAACAGATTACAAAAAAACAAAACAAAACAAAAACCCTTAAAAACTGAACTGTCACATGCTATTGCAATATGAAAAGATGACAACCAAGTTCCAGATTTTAAGCCACTATCTTCTCTATACACTTCCTTTCTATACCACTCCTCATGGCAATTCTGGTTCCCTTCTTAAATTCCTGTAACTTGACCCGTTGCAAACTACATTCAGGTCCCAACTCCCCCACAGCATCCCACAGGTACCTCCCATCTTCCCACAGACAAGTATTACCACAACATGCAGTGGCTGGTCCCAAGATAGGCATGCAGCGACAAGCTGACTAGCACACCTTCTTTGCCTACTGGGTGACCACCAACAGCTGTGCCAACTTTTATGTTTCCCTCTGATGAAAAGGCCTCATTTTAGGTTCTCTCTTCTATGGGAGCACGAAAATTTACAGTACCTTTGATAAAACCATGACAAGGAGGACATGGTAATCAGATGTCATCACCTAGCAGACTGCATATCTGCCCAGACTATCAGCAGGTTTGGCAATACAGTTATGCTAACTTGAGTATTTGTTTGAGTATTTTAGCTATTTGAGTATTTTAGCACAGCAAGCACATTTACTTTTCAGTAAACCATTTCAGGTACCTTCTAATATGTATTTCCTAACAGACTCCTGTGCTTAAAAAACTAAACCAAAATCCCTTTTTGTATCATCTACAGTTCCATCAGTTAGGATAAACTTCCCAGAACTGAAATGCGCAAGCTTGGAAAAATAAGTTCATTACAAAGAAGCTCAACAAGATGATACTCCTAAGTGTTTCTTACCTCGACCAGTCAGCTCTTCCATCTCAGTCATCCACTTTTGGGTCCTTATTAACAAATTAGCAATGTCTGAGCCCAACTTTAAAACAAACCAAAACACATACACACTTACAGTGGCCACAGTTTCAGCTCTATTTTTTTCTATGTGCATTTCCGTGCAACTCAAAAACGTAAAAGGTCTCAACTTTCTACTTACATCTTACCACATAACAACCTTGAAACGCCAACTAGAAAAAAGCTAAATAGTCAGAATTTAAAATACCTTATTTGCCTCTTTCGATAAAACAAAATATGACTAAAAATAGATCTTTACTGCCTTTCAGACTGCTCACAACGGTTCTATCAAAAAACACTAGAAATACATCAGCAAAGACATTCTGAACCAACATTATGCACACTTCAGAAAGATACACAGACGACAAAACTGCAAAAAAATTTTTTTATATTCCATTAAAACATATAATAGCACCAAGTGCTATACCTCCAACTAGTTGATTGACTAAAGCCTCAAGTCTCAGACAAGTAAAATAGAACTTTCATTGACCAGACAATTGTACACGTATAATAAAATTCAACAGTTACTACCCACACTTTCAAACACTGAACAAGAAACAGCGGTTTACTACAGTCACTCAAAGGAACAGCAAGGTATAAAAGCTTCCCTACGAATGCTTTAAAATCTGGCCACTGGAGAGAGATGGTGATGTAAGTATTAACATTCATTTCTATTTAAACACAAACACATAGTCAAAAGGGAGTATTTATAAAGCTAACTGTTATATTAAAAAAACAAAAAGTAAAAAAAAACCCCACTCTCTTCAGCTATAGCATTTCCATCAAGCTTTTCAATGCATCTCAGTAGTCCAAAATGAATAAAGAAAGGTGGGAAATAATAGACCAAAGCTCTTCAAGCAAGTGCTGTGAGACACACTGGCCACTACTTCATGTTTTCCCCTCTTCTCTGTCTATACCATCAGCACAATTAGGTATTTCATAAGTTCTTCTTGAAAAAAAAAAAAAAAAGTTAAAAAAGAGAGAGAGAGCGCATGCGCCAATTCTGAAAAAGCTAACCCTTAGAGCTGTGAGCCTTAAGAAGAGCTGTAAGGCCAACATGATTGCCTACTACTAAGGCACAGTTCTACCACTTGCTTTATAGTCATTACGTAAAATTATTCCTAATGAACCACAATAACTGAAAAGAAAGTTTATTTCTACTTTGAAGCCAACTGTCAAGTTGCACTCTCAGCTTTGGATGACCTTGGCCAATGAGAAGGCCACGTGTGTCCCTCTCTCTGCAAAGCTGCAAGCGGTAGGTTGAAGTGAAAATTATTTTCCAGGGTGCAGGCACCCACACATACGCTGCTCACCTTATTTTCTTTGGAGTATAATGTCTTACCATCCACAGGCTACCATTCTTTAACACACTAGATTGGGCTTCTTATAAATTCAGATCATGTAACATTCAACAAGAAAATAATTTATGTGCATTCATTTGTGTGGTGAATCTACTACCTCTGCCTTGAGCAATCCTTTCACTGCTATCTCACACTGCATCACTTCATGCCTGAATCATTTCACATCCATGTCTGCTCTCCGTTATTCTCAAACTAAAAAATGACCAGATGTCACCAGCATCTACCAAAAAAAAGTTGACCTGCAATCAGAAATGCCCTCATTCATAAGTTGCACTGACTTTACCCTCAAATTATACTAAGTTGCAAGAAGGACACATCATGTGAATTTTAGTCTCCAACTATTACATGGTCAAAGGTTTCTCAGGCCGTGAGACAGCAGACCACTACGTGCACAACAACAAAAAAAACAAATGTCACAGTGCATTGAAATACCTGTTCAAAATGTTGCACACCACAGATCAGTGGCAAGTATTGCACCAATTCATTCAAATCTACTATGATATTCCAGGTAACTGTGCCCTCGTATGTACACACATACACATGTGTGTTTACGTATACTTGTGTGCATGTATTTTCAGTAAAGTACATTCCACAAGTCTCAATCCTGAGCATAAGGCTCTGCGTAAGAGCTCCGTCTGGAACAGTAGTTGGCAGATGTTGCCCCCAAGCCCAAGAGCTCAGCATTTCAGAAACTAAGAGTAGAAATAGCTCACTACCTTTAAAATAATACACTCCTACATGCAAGCTTTGGACTTCAATATTTCCTCACTTTGAGTGTGCAGACAACGCAGTCAAAGAGACATACCGCTACTAAGAAGTCTGTTTTTCCACTGCCCACACAAATTCCTACTGCATAACACTCTCTGAATATCACTGCTAGTTAAACAAGAAGCGCTGCTTTCTTCAAACCAGCATCTGTTCTTAAGGCAGCGCTGCAAAAATAGTAACTGTGAAATGCAAGCCTTGCTCCATGGGACAACCCCACAGGACATCACAATACGATACACCCCACTAACGTCCG